CATGGCACACTTGATGGCGTTTAGGTTAAAAGACTAAACTGTTAAACAAGTTTAGTTCGCCAATTGTTGTTGGAACGAGCTGATGGTCTCTGTTAACCTGTATACTCTACCATAAAATACTTAGCAAGATAGCTTTAGATCTGTCAAGAATCTTTTTGTTCTGATTTTTTTTCAGGGGAGGGTACTAGGTGTCCACAGCTGTGAATCTTTATGGGAGCAGAAAGACTCATCAGTCTCCCAAGGAGCAACTGGTGGGTTCAAACTGCTGGCCTTCTGGTAGCAGCTCACCTGTGGGTGGCAACCCACTACACCACCAGGGCTTCTTGAATGAAGTCAAAGTTGAAACAAAGCCCTGGAGTTAGCTGAGAAAGAAATCTGAGCTAAGCTTGGTGTGACCTGGTTTCTAAATTTCTCATATTTACCCATGAAATTATCATTAGACATAGGCCTCTATTTTCATGGTCATCAGCAGGTCAGTCAGGGAGTTCTAAGAGTTCACATACTCTCTGTTTACTTCCTTTAAAATGTTAACTTCTGACTGCTCTGAGAAACGTGACTGCTGGTTAGCCCTTGCACTCATTCATCAAATGATGCATAGAACGTGGAAGAGTGACTTAGAAACAGGGTGCAGGTGTGTAAGGCCATCAGGGTATGTAAGTGAAACCAAATTTCTAAGACCTGACGACTTTTGGTAAACTAGTATAACTCAGGAAAGAACTCATAACTTCCTATAGTTTTGCATTTTCTTTTTTTAAATCTTGTAATTCCATCAAAATGTTGCAGCATGAAATAGCTTGTAAAAAGCTTTTTTAAAAAATGGAAATAGGAAATGACTGAGATACATCAATATATTCACATACATAAAAAGGGAACTCTTTCAAATGCAATATTTATTATGCCTTCTTGAAAACCAGGATTCTTTTATTTTAAATTACTCCATTTTAATACATGAATGGTAAACAGTAAAGCAAAAGCAGTACTTCCAAGAACATGACTTTATTCTCTTGTTCCTTATGTCTTTTCAGCCTTCAACATCTGTCTTCACCAGCGTAACCAGCACAGAACTGTTCAAAATCAACTCTTAATCCCAGCTGGGCTGCAGAGATGCAAAACCTGGGGCATGATGAACTCAAAACAAGGAAATCAACACTAATAACCAAAAGTATCCATCTCTCTTGCTATGTCATACTTAACAAAATTAAACTAGTTCTTATGTACTCACATTGGTGAATATTAGTATTTTACACTTCCATATATGTGCGCATATATACGTAAAAAGGTAAAATTAAATTATTTTTATCAGTGAAAAAAATATATAAAATGTGACTTATACATACTTCAATTGAGTGCTTGTTCAATACTCAGTGCTTAAAAATATTTGGATAAAAATTCCAAAACCTGTTCTGGTGGAAGATAGTCTTACAGGAGAGGTGAGGGCATTAATGGGATTGGATGGGGGAGGGAGCAAGCAGAATGGAGGTACTTCTAGGCTAGAAATCACATGAAACAGAGGCATGAAGGGGGTTTGGTTTTTCCCCAGGTCAATTTCACAAGAAATGGAATAGAACCCCAACCCCCCAAAACCCCCAATGCCATCCAGTCAATTCCAAATCTTCAAAACCTTTATAGGGTCCACTAGACCGTGACCTTGACAGCAGCAGGCAATTTCCTCTTTCTCCCGAGGAGAAGCTGGGGCTTTGCATCGCCAACCTTGGTTAACAGTGCAATCTGACCAGACAGCACCACCAGCTTTAAACACCCACACCAAGCCGGTTGTCACACACCGGGTTCTGACTCACGCCATCCTCTGGCACACCGCGTGTCAGAAGAGAGCTGTGCTCCGTGGGCTATCAATGGCTAACTTTTCAGGAGTAGATCGCCGTTGTTCTTCCAAGGCCCCTCTGGGTGGGTTCAAAACCTCTCACAGTGCCGGTTAGCAGCCCAGTGCATGAACTGCACCACCCAGCGATCTTAAGGGCATTCACGGGCAAGGTACACACATCTTTAAGTTTTGCTAATGAGTTCACACTATTAAGGGACACTGAACTGACTTCTGCCTGAGTTTTCCAGAGATCAGGGCACACGCCTTGCCTACCGTCAAAGTCACGTCCTTATTTGGTTCTCCTTAGGAGGGCAAGCATACAATGTGTCTAGTCACCCCACATCATCTCAGTAGGTTTTGTCCGTGCCAAAGAGCCGTGAAAGAGCCCTGGGGGCAGAGTGGTCCTGCGTGGGCTGCTACACTCAAGGCCCGAAGTTTACAACTACCAGCTGCTCCGCGGTTTCTCCCGGGGACCGGGCTTTCTACTCCCATGGGTGCGGTCTCGGAAACTCACGGTGGGCAGTTCTCCTGCGTCCACTAGGGCCGTGATGCGTCAGGATTGCCTCAATGGCAGTGAGCTTTTGAGTGAAAGAAACATCGACAGTGTCAGCCTCGGTGCTCTGCACCCTTGGGTGCAGTCTGGGACCCTCGTTTTCTCACTTGAAAGACTGAGCTCCGAGGCCACCTGAGAGCCCCGCCTTGGGTGGCCTTTCCCACTGGGGCCTCGGGCCTGCTCCGGGCTGGGGTGGCTCTGCCGGCAGCCTAGTTGAGGCAGGGGCAGCAGAAGCAGCAGATGGTCCGGCAGGGGTTCTTCTTCTCATACTCCACGGCCTTGCGCACCTGCATCTTGGCCTCGCCGGTGTAGTCGAGGGTCTGCAGCACGTTGTGCTCGATGACGTTCAGCGTGTCGGCCTGCTCCTCCACCAGCACGGCCATCTGCAGGAAGAGCTCGTGCACGTCGCGGATGCGGCTCTCCAGGCGCAGCAGCTCGCGGTGGCGGGTCTCGATCTCGTTGAGCGCGGCGCGCGCGCCCTTCACGTCGGCCAGCAGGTTCTCGGAGAACACGTCCCACTTGCCCTGCTCGAACATGTCTTCGATCTGGTCGCCCGAGACGTCCTTGCCCATGATCTCGAGCTGGCGCTGGATGCGGATCTTGCAGTTGGCGCGCTGCTTCATCTCGGCCTGGTTGTAGTCGTGCATGGCGCTCTGGAAGGTGCGCGTGAGCGCGCTGTACTGGGAGCGCGCGATGCGCGCCACCGCCGAGTGCTCGCCGTGCTGGGCCTCGGCCTTCTCGCTGAGCGCCTTGATGGCGAGCAGCTTGCGGTGGATGGCCTCGCCCCGCGCCTTGATGTCCTTGGCGATGGAGTTGGTGTCGCGTTTGATGCTGCTGAGGCGCCGCATGGACGTGAGGAAGCGGGCGTTCTGCTTCCCCAGGCGCTTCACGTCGGCCACCAGCTGCTGGTTCTCCACCTGAAGCTCGTGGATGTCTCGGTACAGGGCCTCCAGGATGTGGTCCGTCTCGAAGACGATGTCCTCGTGGGGGGCGTCAATGTCGTCCTCATCGGGGAACTGCTGGTCATAGTGCCTGGAGTAATCCAGAAGCTCTGCTAGCCGGTCCTTCATTTTGCCTGCAAGTAGAGATACGGAGGTTATACTTGATCCCTAGTGGGGGTCAAATACTTCACATTCACGGGAGGTTCACGGAACGTCTTGCTCAGGCGTTCGATTCTCTATCCCTGACTGGTGAAGGAGCGCAGTTACCTAGGTCTGACCTCGTGGCTTGAGGACAGTCCCATTTCTGTTTCTTTTCTCTCTTTCTTTTAAAGTCGTGCCTTTTACTATGCACTGACAACTTAAATCAGTATGTTACCAGTATTTCTTTTGTTTATTTTTAAACAGGTTTACTGGCACATCATTCACATAGACAATTCCATAGTTCAATCGCATTGAGAAGAGTTGTACAGTCATCCCCACCATCAGTGTTAGAACATGTTCATCATTCTCGTACTCATCGTGATTAGCTCCCCAATCCCGCCCCCCCCCCCACCTCCCCTGGCATACCCCAAGGAACTATTAATCCAGTTACTGTCTCTAGAATTACCTATCCTGGGTTTCATATACAGAAAACGATAAACAAAATAACAAGAATAACACAAGTAAAACAGGTGAAAACCTCAATCAAAAAGAAAGCAGAAAATAGTAAAAAAAAACTACAGCAAATTTAAATAGATCATAAGGAGTATCAAAATGATAGGGTGTTAATTTTCCCTTAATTGTATCTGCAACAATCCACTTCCTAATACATTATACATGTTAGCAAGACTACCCACATCCCTGATCCTGGCCAGAGGGGATTCACCAGGGGCTTAATTCAAGTGTCCCCCCCTCCCTTTTTTAAAGCTGAAACAGCTTTAAAATGGATCAAAAGGGAGATCAAATGATAAGATGTTACACTTTGACCTATATCTGCCATAATCCACTTTTCAATGCTCTCTGTATGATAACAAGGATATTCACATCACTGATCAGAGGGAATTCATTAGAGGTTAAATCCATGTGTGTAACCTGCAAATGGATTTTGGGCTTACACTGTCATCCACTAGAGCTTTTGGCAAACCAGGTATTCACAATTTAAGTTCTAATGCCATTCCCTCCTTCAGGTTTGGATAATTATTTATAATCCTTGGATCACACATGTTGGTGTGCTCCTTCCATATGGACTTAAGACGGCTGCTTGTGTGAAAACAAGTCTTTAAGATCCCAGACACTGTTCTTTCTGATAGCTTGGCACCATCTAATTTCTCCTCCACACTTTTCTATAGCACCCATATCTTCATTGATCTCTTCATGTGGTAGAGCATCAAGCAGGCCCTGGAAGACAGTCATATTTTAAGCTAACAGGAATCTGCTTTGGCACCCCAGAACTCAAGAAGAAATGTAAAAATTTACATTACTTAAACTCGCGATGGAAAAGAGCCCTGTTAGTGTGCAGAGTTATGTGTTGGGCTGCTAACCTTAAGGTCAGAAGTTCAAAGCTACCAACCACTCTGGGGGAGAAAGATGAGGAACTCCAGCAGGTACTTGTACACTGAGACTCACTGCAGTATATTCACAAGAGTCACAAGATGGAAACCACCAAAGTGGCCATGCAGAGGATGTAGAGTTACAAGCTTGGAAAGTTACCGAGGCACTTCTATCCCGTCCTGTGGGGTCCCTCTGAGTTGTGATCAATTCCATGAGCGTGTATTTATTTGGAGTGCTGATGGGGTGGGTAGTGGTTATAGATTGGGCTGCTAACCGCAAGGCCAGCAGTTTGAATAATACTCTATTATCTATATTTATATATAATACTCTATTATAGATATAATTTATTCATTCTATTGATTATCACTTGGGTTGTTTCCATCTTTTGTCTATTGTGAATATGCTACAATGAGCATCAATGTACAAATATCTGCTGGAGGTCCTGCTTCCAGTTCTTATGGGAATGCGCCAGGAGAGAATCGCTGGGTCATATGTAATTCTATGTTTAACTTTTTGAGGAGCTGTCAAATTGTTTCCCACAGTAGCTGTACCATTTACATTCCCACCAGCGCCGGACAGGGTTTACAGCTTTTCCATATCCTCCCTAATACTTGATAATTGCTGTTTTGTTTTTTTGCAAATTTGTTTGTTTTCCTCCTGTTGTGTTTAATAATTGCCATTCTTTTTTGTTTCTTACTTTTATTGGGGGCTCTTACATCTTTTCTCACAATCCATACATTCATCCAGTGTGTCAAGCACATTTGCACATATGCCACCATCATCGTTTTCAACGAATAATCACCATTCTAATGGGTATGAAGTAGTATCTCATTGTGGTTTTGATTCACATTTCTCTAACATAACTGCACTTAAAAGCCTATATATGGAAAATTTCAAGCATACGCAAGCCTAGGAGCACTAATATAACAATCTCATTTACTCACCATGCCCAGCAAGATCTGCCCATGTTTAATGCTTTTGAAACCACCTGGCAGCTCAAGCAGAATTTTCATATTTTTACAAAAGTGATTCTGATTACTTTCTTGCTTGTGTTATAAGGGGCAAAAAGTTTCAACTGTAACGTATAGAGTCACATTTATTAAGCACTAACTAGGAAAAAGACAATTCCTCTGGCTAAAGGAGACCAGCGGCTCAAACCAATAATAGCATCCAAGGATTGACAGAATACCAGCTGCTTAGACAGGACGCAGGAATACAAGGGATGTGTTCCCCAAAGGATGACTGACTGCGGAGGAATGCATCATAATTACAGACAGGTTACAGAAGTGAGAGAGGGGACCATGACTAGCACGTGTACATTATGTTAGACAGAAAGGCTTATAAGATTGGTTCAGGACCCTCCAACCAAAGCAGCCAGGGTCTGATTCATGACCATGCAACCTCACTACCCCAATTTCCATCAGGGACACACCCGACAAGGCCCTAATGGAGAGACTGACTAAGATAGTGAAAGTCATCCACTTTCAAACACACTCTGCCTGAAGGCAAAGCTGTTAATTTACTGGTTAATGGTCAAAAAGAACTCAGTGGAGGCCGCATTTGTGTATAGACTCAAAAATGGCTTTGGGCTTTCACTATAACTGTAAACTTCTGCAAACTTAGTGCTCATAATTTTAGACTCCGTTACAGTCGGCAAAGAAAATCATGATCTCTCTATACAGACGAGTATTTCCCGTGCCCCCCGCTGATATAAAAACCTTTCCTTTTTACTAGTATGTATGAATATACAATAAAATACTGAACATTTTGCCATTACAGGAGACTTTGTGGCTGGAAAGATTCTCTGTGATATAATTTGCAGACAGAAAGGGGGCGGGGGGAAGCACTTAGTGGCTACTCAGTTGACCAGGGATCTGAACCTCAAATGTTTCTCTAAAGTAATAAATTAAAATGTATTTAATAATAGGAGGAAAATGGGGGAATAAAAACCATGCTCTCTCATCTGCCTTGATCGCTATATACGCATGGTTATTAATACGGAACCCTCCCGGAGACTGAAAACAGCAGGGAAGGTGACCACCCAGACAGTGACTGCCAGGCAGGCAGATCTAGGCTTCCCTTGGTCTGAATTTCCTGATATTCAAATATGTCCTCATGTGGACAAAATGTAAAACTAGACCACGAACTGGGGTGGAGGGGGTTGTGATATCTAGTAGTTTGAGGTTACGCACTAGGTTGCTAGCCACAAGGTCAGCCGTTCAAAGCCATCAGCCATTCCTCAGGAGAAAGAGGAGGATTTCTAGTCCCGTAAAGAGTTACAGTCTCACAAACCTCCAGGGGCAGCTGGACCCTGTGGTAGGGGTGCCCCCGCTTCCTGGGTACTTCGCCTCGGTGACATATTACACATTGGAAAAGAGGCTTTGACTCTTTGGAAGGCGGAATGGGGTTGAGAGACAGGAAAATGCCAGCCATACCTAGCAGCAAAATCTCTGATTTTGTAAATAGTAAGTACGCACAAGTAGGCACAAGCTATGCTTGCCTTGGGGGTTGGGTAACGTGACCGTAACCAGGTACTTCATAGGCCCTTTTCATGGGATACCGTCTTTAACTTGCACGAGGGTTCTCGAGTACACTGCCATGATCAAGGTGGATGGTCATCAGGGAAGCTGAGGACCCTGGCTAAGGGCACCGTAAGTGAGCAGAGCCCAGCAAAGGCCCTCTTCGCCATTACTCCCTACTAGACCGTCTTTAATGGAAGTGTGCAAAGATTTTAAACATTCTTCACTCAACAAGGAAACACAAATGAAACCATAGATTTTTTTATTCACATCAAAATTTTTAAAATAGAATTTTAAAAGATCAGTGAGAATGCTCAAAAAATGTTAGAATTGTACACTGGGAGGGCCTTTCTGGAAAATACTTTAGCTGTATGAATAAGCCAAACCACTGAGTCAATCAGAGACCCTATATAAGGTTTCCAACCTGCAAATGTTTACAGGAGCAGGCAGCCTCGTTTATTTCCTGTTGTAGATTGGCAGGGGAGTTTAAACTGCCGACCTTGAAGTCAACAGTCCAAATCTTACCCAACAACGACACCAGAGCAGTTTCTCTCAGCAAGTTTGAACTTTCGTACGATTTTGAGTTCTGTTCTACATTTTTCTCCTACTCTGGCCAGGACCTTCAATGGGATCCCCCGCAGAGGGATCAGTAGTGTTGGCCAAGTGCCATCTGGTTTTCCTGCTCTTGACGAGTGGAGGCTGTCGTTAGTGTAGCTCATTCAGCGTTTAAACTTAATTTCTTCCTCGAATTCTTTAGCTTCTTCACTGTTCTTTGCTCTGGATGCAGAGAGACCAATAGTTGCACCTGACATAACTGCTCACCAGCCCTCTTAAAGGGTTCTTAACCCCAACCACCATTCCCCAGAGTAGGATACGGAACGTTGTCTTTATGGACTGATGGTTCTGGCTGGCCACAGAGACTGTAGTCCTAAACCCCTAAATCCAATGACTCAATCCCTCAAGGTGTTGGGTGATGGCCAAAAAATGTTCATACTTTTGCCTTTATATACTCTATTAGATCGATGGATACACGTGTGGCACATGGGAATATGAATGTGGAAATATCCTTTCCCGAACCTCGTATATGTTTGG